GTGGAAAAGGTTTCAGCCTGCCTCTTATTTGGTATCTTATGCAGTTAAGCAAGGATTGGCTGAATTGATCATTGTAAAGGCAAGGGAGATATGGTTGCACATTCTTTTACCAACCAAATTTGTTACACTTTGATCAACAGTAGTACCACCACAAAAATAGAAAGTACAATAATCACTTCTATTAAAAAATAAATAAATAAAACAAACTATAAACTGGACAGATTAGTGACATTGTAAAGTTTTGATGCCCAAAAGGATAGAAGTAATATCCATAAGCCAGATTTCTTAGATCCGACAAAAAGATTAGTAAATTATTTGAAACCCCCAAAAATGAATAATACAAGTAGATATCTTCAATCAAAAATATCTTTTTTGTTATTAGGCATTTAAATGCATTCAACAATCCTCTTAAAGTAAATCTCAATTAGATTTACCGAAATGTTATATGATATATATAAATATTTCTAACAAAATTTGAGAAAAACGAAAGCAAATTATCAGAGAACAGAAAATGAAAAGAGAAACTTGAATAAATTCATTAGATTTTTACATCTTGCATTATGGTCTTCATATCAAAAGGTTTTCAAACTCTCACATTTTTAGAAATTAAAGCAACATTGTATCTTTTTAATATAATGAGTATAATATAATTTTAAATGTAAACATTAACATCTCCTGGGACTCATTCTACCTTTAAATAAATCTTACTATAAAATACTAATAGTTGCTAAGTATGAAATAGGCAAAGTATGGTATTCAACCTTTATTCATAAGTAATTTTCATTAACTAAATCCTCTTAAAATTGATAGATCTTAATCAGCTGATGAGCAGGGAATTTGAGTGGATGGAAAAAAAAGGAATATATGAAACAAGTAAAATAGTGGTAAGTAATAAAAATATCCTTGAACAATAAAAAATAGAAGGAATAGGAAGAAAAGAAGAAAGCAGAAAAAAATCAAAAAAGAAAAAAAATAAATAAAATGAGAAGACCATGAAAAAAAAAAAAAAAAAAAATTAAAAAAATTAAAAGAAACAGAATAAAAAGAAGAAAACATTATTCAAAGTGTAAATCCTGAATAATAGAATTGTTTTTGAATGATTTCTAAAAATCAATTTCCCAAAACAAGCAAAATATGCAAAATTATTTGCAATCTTTAGTTTTTATGGAGAGCAAAGAGAGGCACATTTTATGGGTGTGCCAAAAACACTAGTGGTACTGGATTCTAATTCCTGGCAACTTTTATATGTCAGTACTTTGGTATTCTGTACTGCTTGGATTGGATTACATGATATGAAGGAACGAAATGGTAGGTCTTGTAGAATAGGGAGTGGATGAATAATATGGTCATCGTGTGTGTATGTGTGTCACCTCTATGCAGAGGTATATGTATATAAAGATGAGAGCTTGTAAGTGTATAATACAAAGACACACTTGTTAATGTAAATGTGTACTTAGGTGCAGATAGTAACATTCATTTTGTGCATGCATATGAAGATAAATTCATTCATATCAATTGAAGATCATTTTGATTAGTTTTTATCAACACTTATGAATCTACATGAACTTATACACAGAATTTTCTGACCTTCATAACAAGCAAAAATCACAATAAAGGGAAATTCCTGATATCAGTGGATTAAATGGTAGAATATTCTTCATGTTTACAAAGTTTTTTTTTTTTACCATAGTAATATACTTAAAAATTGAAACTTTATTATTCAGAAAAGAATGTGGCAATTTAAGTTGAGGAAAAATAGTAACGTGAACAAGGTTAGGTAAAATGTTGTGTGAATGAGACTAGGCTTCAATTCTTAGGATGCGTTTCCCTCACACACACAATATATATATATATATATATATATATATATATATATATATATATATTTCTACTTACAAAGGAATCTTTAACCAGAAATACAAATAATTAATTTTTATCTTCACTTACTTTTATTTTGTCTATTTATATATTTCTATTTTTACAGATAATGTTATTTGTATTAATTTTTAAACTGTATATAAATTTTTCTATAATATTCAAAGACAAATATTGTCATATATTAACTAAAATCTTTCCTTGAAAAACAACCCCGATTTTATCTAAAAAGAAAAATAAACAAACAAGTACCTTTTTTTAAAAGTAATCAGTACAAAAATTCACTAATAATACTGAAAGTCAAAATCCAATGTCACTATCTCCACTACACTGATATTATTTAATATCAAACCGTTTATATTACACGTCTTCCTCTGCTTTGACAGTGTTACTACTGAAAGTAGTTTAGGGTGAACAGAAAAATTAATTTTGAACTTGTGGATATACAAGTTTTAGTTAATAAGAAAATGAATGCAATCTTAATTTGAAGCAGATATAGGTTTCTGCCAAGTAGAATAGTTGATCAACCTCAAAAGGAACCAACCTCTTCTTAGTGTGCTACTTGTGATATATCTGTAAAAAAAAAAAAAAAAAAAAAAACACACACACACAGGACATCCTGTGCTTTGTTGACCATGGCCTTTGCCAGAGGTATAACCTGCTGACATTCTCTGATCACTAAAGAGCCCTTAACTGTCAGGGAGTCAAAAAAAGGCTATTTTGATTTTTAATAAAAATAAGTTGAAACACACAACTGGAAAGAAAATTTTAATTATCTTTAGTCTCTTATTTCTGTTTTGTCAGTGAGAGATGAAAAAGTGTGCAGAATAACTTAACTAATTCATTTGAAAATAATTAATCCTCGTAGGAGTATAATGAAGAAAATTTATATTATATTAGCTCAGAGAAATAAACTTTGGTAGTAAAAAGATTTAATGAAGGAGACTACTTTTAGTTACATTTCTAGCAAATAGTGCTACAATTTGTATTGGACAAGGTTGCTGTTGGTCATCAGTTTATAGTACGAGGAGTTACTACTTGTTACAGCTGATGAAGACTTTCAAAGAAAAATGAATTCAACATTTTCAAAAAAAAAAAATTCAACACGTGAAGGATTTTTATACATATCTTTTTATATAAAAAATATACGTAGCACTATTGTAGAACATCAATATATTATATATTTTTATGTAAAGAACAGCATAGCTCATAAAAAAAAAGATTGCAATTTTCAGTTTTGGTCTTAAAAATGTGTTTTGAATTGTGGATTTGATTTTGTCCATAATTTCTCAATATATACCACCATAAATCTTCATTTTACTTATTTTTTTGTAACTGAATTGTTTTTAGCATAAGCAATTTGCTATTTCTTAAGCACAACAAAAAATGTTTGATTGTAATATTTGGTAGGGTGGAAAGAATTTGTGAATGATAGTACAAGTGGAAATATTAATGTGAGCAATTAAGATTGAGTGTAAGAAGAGATGTGATGGTTTGGAAAGAAGAGATAAATGTATGAAAAGGTGGAGGAAGAGAGAAGAAAAAATGTGTCTGAGAACCTGAAAAAGAAAAAAAATCAGAATAAAGGCTAAAAGGAAATTGTTAAAGAAATTGAAAGGAAGATGTGAGGAGTAAAGTTGTTAAAGAGTTTGGATGAGAGAAAATGCATCAACTGAATGTTTGCATTGGAAAAAAGAAGGAAAGGGAAAAAAAAGGGAAAGAAATTGAAAAAGAGTGGAAAAAAAAGCAGAGAAAAAGTCTGCATAATAAAATTCAGGGAAATCTGAAAGATGAAAATAAAAAATTAGTAAAGTGAAAAGCAAAGGTGATAAAATGATAATTAAGTAAAAGCAAAAGAAAAATACTGAGAAAGAGAGAAGAAAATTTATTTTTTAAAAATGCAGGTAAACGAAGGGATAAGAGTTCAAGTTCTTCACTGAAATTTGTTTCAAATGATTAAAAAAAAATCTTTCCTGTTACTTGCCCATTTTCAAAGTGAATCTCAAAATGAAATAAAAATCCAGAATAAAAAGGAGATTCCTGAATGTAGCACAAGCAGATTAAATAAAATGTTACTGAATACTTTCAATACTTTCTTGAATTGGACATGTATAGAAGATGAAAAATGTTACTAAACTTAAAATCTTAAATAAAGCAAGAATTTTCTTGAATATAAATGTTTTTTTATTGATGGACAAGAAAATCCAAGGGCAAGCAATAAACAGAAAGCCAATCATTTTTCTTGAAATTAGAAGAGCAAAGATTATATTGATTTTAAGTTGGATAAAAAGAATTTTGTAAACTTTTGGAGAATGATTAAAAACTCACTTTATCAATTAAAATCGAGTTACTTTTGTTTAAGCCAACATAATTTTGTAATTCAATAATTGATACACAAACTTTTGTTATTTTTACATATTTATATTAAAACCCACTATTAACTGATCGTGGATTTGTAGTGATGTAAAGGTGTATGTCTTGGAATGAGAAATCAGAGAGCCAAGTTGGAATTCCAATCAAATCTGTTACATTCACTTACATGCAAATACCCTCGGGAAAGGTGTGAACCCATGTATTCTCCTTCTCCCAGCTATTGGTAAATAACAGATCAGGCTGGGCTCTATAGACCTGGTTAGCAACCAGTCTAGGAGAAAGAAAACTGAATTCAAACCAGCCTGAAGAGGTTTGGGCTCTGTCTAGCTATCATGCCAAAGACACACCACTGCTGCTATGGTTGCAGTTGAGGTGGTGCCTCTAAAACCCCAATGGGTGAAAGAACTTGTGATTGTAATAATCAAGATCAGTAAAACTGACAATCCCAGGATTGCAAATTAATTAAAAAGAAGTGTAACTATCTTAAAAGGAAAAAAATATTCTAATGAATATTACAAATAGACAATTGGTTTTACAATTTTTAACATTTTAATGTTTTATAACTACATAACATTATATTAACATCTATATGAACCAAGATTGAAAAATGTTAACTTATTGAAAAAAATAAATAAAAATAACTACTTGCAGTAATAATGTAAAAATTATAAATATTGAGACAAATATTCCTATCAAAACTGAATCCTACAAAAGAATCAACAACAGAAAATTAAAAAAAAAAATCAACTTACTGAGTGGTGGTGTGTTTCCATCAACAACCCCATTGGCAGTAGCTGGAGTGGAAGTTGCCTGTGGCAGGGGTATATGGTTATTTTCAAGGTCATTAACAATTAAAGGAGATAAAGGAACTGATGGATCAAAGTTTGCCTCCTTAGATTGTTTATTTGACTTAGAAGTTGGTGTTGCCTTTGTAGGTGAAATCTTGTCACCATCAATTGGTTCTGACTGTTCAGATTTTTTGACAACTTCAGCATTCTCCTTTGCAAACACATTTTCTTTGGTCACTTCACTCTTGGATTCTGCAGATGGGAATGACTTTGCAGGCTGCTCATTAGCAGGAGTAGTTTCCCTACTTGTTGATGCACTTGAACGCTTAGAGTCCCGTTTTGAAGACCGCTGGATGTTATCCTGTGACAAATTTTCAGTATCACCATTTGCATCTCTTGCTTTACCTTGTTTTTGACCTGAAAAAATTTTTAAAAAATAACAAATTCAATATTATTTTATGAAGCACAAAACCCTACAATCTCTCTCTTCTTTTTTTTTATTTTGAGCAAAAAGTAGAAACATTAAAAACTAGAAACAAATAAGAAAATTGGATTTACAAGGATTTCAAATAAGGGAGGAAATAAAGATTACCACAGCCTCATTATTTTTAGTTAACCATGATCAAGATGTAACTTGTTCATTTTTTCAAAGTTGACAAGTTATCAGAGTATAAATATAAATTAAAATATGATAAAAAATATATTGGCAAAGGTAAATATTTCATATACTCATGTATAAGTTTACATGAGAAAAAAAATAAAGAAAACCCGATTTTTTTCATATAGCTTCTGTATAATACAACTGCAAGCATCTGAACAATACTAGTAGGCCTATTGTAGTCAAATCTTGCAGTACTGGGCATCATCCTGGACATAATTTTATAGCAAATAAATGGTCTTTATTCTTTTTTCTACAAAGCTACCCCCAACCCCCCCCAAAAAAAACTTACTGCAAAATATCTGATATGAAGATTTAGATACCATACTTTTGTTTTCATTCATGTCCGACTACAATAACAACTTTACTCTGGGCCTGCCTTTTACATAGCCTAAGTTTCTTCCCTTTTGTCACTACATGAAGAGCAAAACCTTATCCACTATGTATGGCACTTAAAATCAACCAATTCCTTATATAAATGAAGAATTAATAAATTTTTTCATATCTCAAATTTACATTCATTTCACAAGTATTTACATCGCTGAGGTATTGTCTTTCCAATGACAACCTTTTTGTCAGGATTACCATTTCATAATGTAGGGTGTCCCACAAGTTGACGTACATTTAAGAATATGTAACAGAATTATAAGATAAAATAATACTAGCAAATGTATAGAATATATATATATATATATATATATATATATAAACTGAGGAAGATAGAATAAGGAATAACTAAAACGTGTATGGTATAGATAATCCTCAGACAAAAGCGGTACTGTTGGAAAAGCAATACCTCAGTTTGAACAAAATTGAACGCAGATTGGAGAAAGGAAAATAAAACAATATTAATTCTTCATCTAATTCTTCAGGTATTTGCAGATTTTAATTGGCACACAATAAATGACATTCTGTTATTCATGTAGTAATAGGAAGAAAGAATCTATGCTACAGGAGGGAAGATAAAGGAGCTTACCTGTAACCATTAAAGTTAGCTAAAGGTGCCATAAGAATGCAGGCCTACCACTATGTTACAGTCATCCAAATGCACATATTTTAACTCCAGAAAAAGATTTACCTGTGTATAGTGCAACTAGTCACTAAAAATGCATGATTTTTATCCTCTTCAAAAAAATTACCTGTGTATAGTGCGACCCCCTATTTTTTGCGTAAAATAAAAATGATCATAAAATCTTACACTTTGTGAATATATATGGTAGCTACATACCTACATTAATTAACTATTTTTATAAATTGAAATAACTTTGTATATATAATATTCAGATATCAATGAAAAATAGAGAATTTAATCAGTATTTTGTTAAATGTTCTGATCCAATAAACTGTGTCAAATTAAAACAAAAAGGAAACATTTCAAAGTGGAAGGTTTTTCTAAGAGACATGTTCAGATTCAGTTAACAAATAATAAAATTGTTATTTTACTCAGTGAAGGAAGAAGTGATGTAGAATTTACTCTTAAACTATTGAATCTAATCTAAGATCATCAATAGAAATAATTTGAATGCATCTAATTAAATGTACTGGTGAATTTCTTAAATATTTGGTATTTTACTAAATTTTCTTAAATAGTTAATTTTTTAAAAGTTATGTTCAATGGTTTCCTGTTGTTACAGTTCTATTCTTACTCTATGTCTTATAAAAAATCATGGAGTACAAATTTCTTATGAATAAAAACTATTATCTTTAATTTTGTTGCAATAAATAACATTTGCTTTATACTCTTACTATTTCATTTTATCTTTAATGCAAGAAGCTCGTAACAAATAATAATCAACAACCATCTTATATTTCTTTCAATAAAAAGAAATGAAACCTAAAATGATTTCTTTAGTGAATGGAGCCGTTTCTTTGTAGCTCTATGAGAAGGCACAACATTTAAAACAAACAGAAATTTATGTTGGCACTAAAGAATAAATTCTGTACTTATTTGTTACTGATGTACACAACATTTAATTAATGTTAAGTTGTACTGAGCAAATAAACGGCAACTTGTCAGAGTGATGATGAACAGAAATCAGCCTGGCACAGCATCTTCGCACCATCAGCACTTGCAAGCCAAGAAATTGCCAACAAGTGAGAAATTCAAGCTGGCACCAAAATGGCAAATTTTATTTCAAAAAAGATATTTCACACTGGCTAAGTGCAGATTTTGAAGTTGAGTAAATCAACTACCACAGAAAATATCCTTTGCAGGTGGGCATTTTTTATGGATATTGCCAAGGCTTATTTCTTTAAACATAGTTCCACGGCAATATGGCTTTGTTGACACTATCAGTAAAAGATATCTTCATCAAAATTTCTCAATGGAGTTAGTGATCTTTCATGTGCTAAGTACTTTCGGCATCCAGTTTACATTGTAGCCTCTAAATTTCATTAATGATAGTCTTAGGTTTGGTTAATAAAAACAAAAATGGTTACTAAGTGTAATGTGTTATTTATTAAACTGATCAATATTTATCAAAGACCTACTATCAGGGCCAGAAATCATCTTTAATATCCCTGAACTTTTGCCAGTTTATTCACAAATTTGAGTAAACTGATATATAAATTAAATTTGTAATGTGTATGTCCAGTAACTACAATCAATGTCAAGTATCAACTATTTTATTCTTTAAGAATTCCATTCCTAATCCACTACCAAATAAAACAATCCTGATAAAAACTATTCTTTTATAATTTCTCAAATAAAATCCTTTAGATAGTAGATAGGTTCACCTATCATCTGGTTCACACTCTTCCCAGGTCTTTTGAACAAGAATAGTTTATCTCTTGTTTACTGTTTAGGACTGGTTTTCCAGTTCCTTCAAATGTTTTCTCATTCTCTTTCACTCCTAGTAGCCACTTGTGTCTTAGTGGCATCGTCACTTTGCTTGGGGTGAATTGATTATTAAAAAAGAAAAAAAGATTAATGATTTCATTTAGCCTTCATTCTTGATGATTGCTAGTGTACATTCAATGGAATATTTACAATACTGACTGTTAATCATAAGGTTATTTCAAGATATTTTGATGTTCTAGCAATAGCTATGAACTATTTTGAGATATACAACGATTACCTAAAAACCTACAGGAAAATGAGTTATGATTAAAAATAAAATCTTATTAGTCTACACTGTATTAATATAAAATTGCTATGTCTGTGTCCACTGTATGAGCATTTCAATGTACCATCAACATTTTTTTATTGAACTGTAGATTAGAAGAATTAATATTATCTAATGTTGGGTTGATAAGGCTTTTTATCACATTTCATCTGAAAATATTCACACCTGATTGATAAGGAGATACTGTATCTTGGATTTAACTAATTTTTCTCATTTTGGTAAAATTGTATCATATTATGACATGAACACTGAATTGTTTTGTTGGAAGGAAATGTACACTGAGTAAAATATTTTCTTTCATATGTGTAGGCTATCAAAAGAGATTGAATGTAAAAGAAAAGAAGAAATAATTTGAGAACAAACATTTGTTAGGATTTAAATCATGAGAAAATAAAAAAAAGACCCTATAAAAGCAATTCTTCTATCAAATAAAAAAAACAAAACAATCTAAGTTACATAGAACAGAGCAGAATCACCAGCAAGATATCAAGAGGAATATCAATGGGAGATCAAGATTCTATGAAAATCACATAATTTAAGAGAGGTCTACAAGCATATAGTAATACCAAGGAAATCTTTTACTGATATTGAATAACAGACTAACATGTAGAGAAACCAAATGTAAATTCTCCAAGATTAGTATTTGGCCATTAGCATTACCAACTTAGCATCTAAAAAAACAAAAAAAAACAACCAACTTTTCATACCCAACAAATATTGATGAATAGTTTGTATTTAATTAAGTTTAAATTCTTGAGGCAGATTAACTGTGCTCTTTCAATCAAGGAATGAATTGTACATGGTCTCAGATCAAATCAAGACAAAATTACTTGCAGGATTAACAAAGAATCTATGTTAGCAATCACCTACAGGTGTAAGCCAGTAGTTTATAATCTATTCTAATAGTATTATTACAATGTTAACACAAATGATAACACTGATGTTCTATCTACATCAACAACACTGTAATGATGCCAAATTCTGTCAGCTCTGCTTCCAGCAGGTGGCATTCATTTATTCAGATTATGCCAAAAGCCAACATGGATCCAAATATGGATTGCCTCACAAGAGAGTGGAACATCACCTCTATAACCACCATCACTGACAAGATAGAAAGGAAAGGAGTGGCTTCACAAATGGTACTCTATTTTCTTAAGAAAATTTGTACTCAAAGAATTTTGATTCTTGGCCAAAGTTTCGAAGAAAATATACAAAAATATGATGTAATAAGCTGACTGTATAGCAATTTACAAAGTCAATAAGAAAAAAAAAAACAGATAGAAGTGTGTGTGTGTGTGTGTGTGTGAAAGAGAGAGAAAATACAATGCAAAATTCTTTATAGTTTCTTTTGGTAAGAGATGAGCAGACTAATGTTGAATAAAAAGTGGTTATTTGTTAAATGAAGAGAGTGAGGGTCTAGTAAGTTGCTGTTAGTTTCAATCAATGTAAAAATTCAAACTGTCTACCCATTCTATCAGCACTTACCCCCTCTCAACTAGATTCCTTACAACATAAGTGTGACATAGCCATTCTTTTTGCATACACATCTTCCATTTTTCTAACAGCATATTTGAGAGTCTGAGACTCCTACAAAGAACAGTAAACAAAAGATAGGATTTAAAACAAATGTAGGT